AGTGATCAGTATTATGATTTCCACGTATGCCTCTGTTATAGAAAATAATAATGATAATAATTAAATAAGCAATAATGATAATTTGATTAATCATCAAAGGCAGATAATGTATGGTGCTTTTAAATAAAAGCGCACTGTCGTTACCGTATACTAAGAGGACAAAAACTTGAACAGTAGGACTATTTGAAGTTTGGAGTGATTTATCATAACGGTGTGTTAATGAGATTTTTGCACTTCTTTTGAAATAACATTCAGTTGGTCACTGTTATTTATAAGGCGTTGAGTATTATTGGCGGCAACACACTGTGATAAGGCAACCCTTCTAATTGCTTCCTACTGATTGATATTTGCCAGTTTGTGATCATATTTTATTGAGTCAAGTGTATTATTTTCAGAAATAATTACATATCTCGATTTGAATGATGGCTAATACATCTCGGTGGAGGGATTTTAAAAGAAGCCTAGGCCTCTGGGGCTTGGTAAAGTTACTTGGGAAACATACGTTATAAATATAGCAGTTTTATGCTCAGTGTAAAGGTTTTAAGGTTATATAGCCCGATATTTCATTGTCTTATTATCGTCACGATATGCAGCATTGCACCTATGTTATTTACAATATTTACTTCGTACTCTTTGAAATAAACCATGGCTTATAACTTTTTCATTGAGTTATTATGATTGCAGATAATTTATTTGAGAATGTATAATAACTCACTTACCTATGTTTTCGCAGTCTTCATCAGTGGCAACTCAGTGCAAGGAAGCAGAGTCACATGTTTAGTATTCTATTCCAATCAAAGGATCAACGTTCAAAGTAGTATCAATGTTGTGATAATAATAACTGTAATCAGTTCTGCCGATAACATAGTCAATTATTAATTTTGACTCTATATACGTCAGGGGCGGATTTAAGGGGGGGGCAGCCCCCCCCACACTTTTGGAAGTTAAAAAAAAAAAAAAAAAAAAAAAAAAAAGAAAGAAAGAAAAAAATAAAAAAGAATAAAATGTTCGTCCAAAACGCCTCAGGGGTTATTTTTAGGCATCTAGAACACAACAATTTCGCGAGGGGCGACCACCTAGGGTAGTGTTATCTCGATCAGCCCCACTTTCGACCTCCCTTTCGGCCACCACTTTTGGACATCTCTGGATCCGCCCCTGTACGTATGAAAGGAATGATAATAATTAATGTTCTTGAGATAATGTAGGCAGGCCTATTATTATTAATTTACCATTAATAGAGCAATGCAAATTTTAATTGATGTTTACACTTTTGTATATTCCTTAATTCTGAGAGAGAACCAAATATTTTTTTTTGTAAACTGCTGTCTTGTGAGACCGTGGGGTAGTTGTCTATTAATATTGTTTGTTTTCAAATTCTTTATGAACTCTGATAAATGTATTTATTTTATTTTCTCTATTTGGATATCTAAGAATTATTACATTATTTTTTTTACACCATTTTATTGACGGCGCCAAACATAAAATATTTATTATCTATTTTACAAAGATGCTTCTCACCAATTAAAGTTTAAAGTTAAATTAATTTTAATTTATTACTAGAAGTTTTACGGTATTATCATCATATGAACCTCATCTTCACATCATCCTCCTCAACATCATCATCGTCATTATCATTATCGTTATCATCATGGTAATAATCAACAACAACATCATCATCATCATCACTAACAACAATATCACCATCATCATTATAACCATTATATTCATCAACATCATCGTTTGTGAGCTGATCGAAAGTGATTGTGACACCAAATTTTCAAAGATCAAATTTTCTAAATTTTCTAATTGAGCTCATATTTACCAGGAATGATCTGACTGGATTCATGTTCTTTTGAACATAATAGGCCTAGTATTATTTCTATTTTGTTTATGCTGACGATTAGAATCAGGATGGTGATAATGATGATGGTGAAGATTACATCATTATTAATGACGATGAGGCTTATATACTCTAACTGCTGATGATAGTAATGGTAATGATAATGATGCTGCTGATGAGAATCTGGAAGTTCAATGCTCTGTAAGATAGACAGATTCACAAAATCTTCTGTTCATGCCCTTGTTGTAAACAGATTTTTCAAACCTAGAGATATTATTTATTGTAAACGTTTTGTGTCAATCATAAATGCATTCTCCCAAAGATAATAAATAGCAGAAGATTGAGAAGCTTTCCAATATAGTGGAACATCCGTTCAAAATGCATTGTGGGTACACGGAGAGCAATTTGACTCCGTCCACATGGCGGCACTGTATATCGATAATAAAGGCGCCGCTCGGGTTCGTTTGTTTCCTATAGTTTCTCCACATAGTCCAATGGTCAAATTTTATCCCGCTCGCGGAAGGGCGGATGTTCCATTGATTTTAATGCAATACGCAGAACAGCTCATTCTTCTGCTCTTTAAGTTCTTTCATTATCCATAATTGACGAATGGCGATTCACTTTCACTTTATTTTTTGAAAACGACTAAATATTAGCAAAACATCAAACTATTTTCTGTGTCATTATGCTTTCTTTAATAAAAAAAAAATACAAAAAAAAACATGAGAATTATAGAACAACTTTTTTGGACAATTGAAAAAAGAAACAAAGTTATTTAAAATAAAGTTATTAACATATTTCAGTCTAAATTTTAAGATAAGGTTTTTCAAATTTGGTTAAATTTACTTAAATTATCTTTAACTTTTGTATTTGTTTTATGCTTTGTTCTATGTTTCATTATTTGTTCGTTATACGTAATAATAATAATAATAATAATAATAATAATAATAATAATAATAATAATAATAATGAAATGATATATTAATAATAAAATATTCTTAAATTTGCAATTGTAATTATAATTATTACTATTTATTACTACTACTAATAATATTTATCTAATAGTAAATATTACGCTAAGTATATCAGCCCTTTTTTCTGTTCATACTTTAATATAAATTAATCTGAAGACAGTGGAGTTGTTTAACCTATAATACAATAAGAATATGCTGAACATTATTTCAGTATTTGCCTACCTTTGAACATGACTATATTTCTGATACGTAATCTTAAAAGCTTTTGATACGTAAGTATTGTTTGTTTGTTTTTATTTAATGCTCATTTATTTACAGAAACAAAGACATTAATGGGGAAAAAAAAAACAATTACAAAAGAAAAAACATCACCATTTGATTAAAAAACATACATCAAAATCGATTTATACACAATTGGAAGAAATGGCCCATCAAAAATTTACCAATAAAAAGAAAACAATAGAAAAAGACACGAAAAACTAGACAAAAATTACACATGGAAATAAGGAAACGAGAAGTTGTTTACAAGGACAAGCAAACAGTACATCAAGAAGTAACCGAATGAAAAGGAAGGCAAAGGATTGAAAACAGACATGGAGCAAGGAAATAGTAACGTAAAATAGTAGACCTAATGTAACAATATGTGCTACTTATGTTTAGTAGATGTACTTTTCGTTAAACCTATAGGCATTTTGCAATGCCTATAGGGAATGTATTAAACTGCCACGTAAATATAATAAACTAATAAAAATATAAAGTGCTAATAGTTCTTTGTATATTTAAATTATCCACTGTACGCTGCTATACAGTACGGTAATGAACTTTCAACTGAAAATTATTCGTCACCAATTGACAGAAATTTAAATATAATTCTTATTTTTCCTATAATTTTTCTTGAAATAAATTTAAAGATTTGCGTAGTAAACCGTTTTTAAATAATTTAAAAATAGATTTTTTAATTTGTCATTTAATTAAAGTTCATAACTTGTAAAATCCGTTTCAATGTATATCGCTTCTTTTTGATTTTGGAAATTTTTTTTTTTCAATTTTGATAGAACTATGCGATTATGGGGTTCTCGTCGTTCTTGTAACGCTGCTTACATTGTAACATCAGTCATTGTAAATCCACCCTCGTTTACAGAGTCCCTGTTCTTGAATGCGATCAGAAAACAGATGATCCCGCCAAGAAGAAAAGACAGTACGCCCATTCCAATACCCATGCCTATGACTGCGCCTGAAGAAATTAGTATTATGTGGTTAGTGTGAAATTATGTATAATTACGCTTACTTTAGTTGTATATAGCAAATTACAAGTAAATCAAAAGGTCTAATCATATCATGACTCTATACATTAGATAGAAGTAAACATAGTATAACTTTGATTTACCGTAAGTTTAGTAGAGACTAATTACAATTTTAAGCCCAACACTGTCTATAGAGATACAATCTCTTAGAAAGTACGAAAATGTTCATTCAAGTCAATAGCAGCGGAGAGAGAGAAGTAGTAATTTAAATTGTTTGTCTCATTCTTATTCTCACTCTTCTATTGCCAAACAAAAACATATCATAACAATTATACAGAAAAAGAAAAACTACTGATTACCCTGATTGGCAGGGACATTCTAATTAATATAATTACTATCCAATCAAAGTAAAGCTCAAGGTTTCTATAAACTCACTTTCATATAGGCCTATTAATTGTGTTACCACTGTACTTTTTAAAGCTTTCTTTCCATAGAATCGCTACACAGTCGCTACTTCAATCCTTGCCATTTGTAACTGTTCCCGACGCAATCGGCAATACCATGTAGCGATTTTATGGAAACCAACACTGCTCTCACCGGCGTCTGAGAATGCTACCCGACTCGTGCCAGACAGATTGACAAAGTTGAACCACTTTCAACTTTCTCGCTCTGTCGCAAACGAAACATAACCATTGACCAATCACCCACCGAATTTATTAAGCGTCATATATTTCTCAACAGTCATCATTTTTCTTTTATTTATTTATTTATTTATTTATTTTTTTTTGGCCGAAATCGATGATGTCGAGTTTCGGTAAGAAGTTACTGAACAACTTCCAATATTTACGTTGTAACATTCTGAGACAAATTTTCAACGTAATTGTTGCATGGACATATTAATTATTTAGGCCTATTAATTGGATGTTTGGGATTATTTTATTATGAGCCTACAGTCTAAAGCCGGGCACTCACCGCGTCGTCCGACGGTCGCACGACTGTTAGCCTCTGAATCCAACACCGCTTACTGTGAGCTCTACACGACGAACATTTTTAATATTTTTTCTTCAACCACAACAAAAGCTTTAATGTTTATTATGACGCAGTGCATTATTTAATCTCTTTAGCATTATAGCATAGACCTAATAGGTCCATGATTATAGCATTACCAATGTATTACCTTTTGAATACATCTTGCTATCTTCAACAGTGTCTTCTGGGACCGATTGTAAACTATCTGCATTTGCATATATAATATATTCCTTTAAATAAAATATTGAAAAAGTTACAGTATATTATATTGTCAATAGCATATGGGGGTTTACGCTGGTCACTTAGCGGAGTGATGATGATGATGATAATAATAATAATAATAATAATAATAATAATAATAATAATAATAATAATAATAATAATAATAATAATAATAGGGCCTAATAATAATAATAATAATAATGGTAATAATAATAATAATAATTGTCGACTTATATAGCGCCTGTTGTAGAGACTTCCATGAGCATAGAATTATTAACCCCCGATCATTGGATCAAGCACATATGGAACACATACGTATGTCCATTGGGAGAATTCCATAATGTTGCAGCTGTAGTCAGAGCATTTTTGTGTTTGAACCCACCAGGTACCACTTTTACTCCTAGGTGCATGGGAGAGACAACCGTACAACCATAGGTAAAGTGCCTTGCCTAAGGACACAAGCGGAATACACAGCAAGGGATTGAACCTCCGACCTCAACCTCAAAGTTGAGAAGCAGAACCACAATTGTCCTTACCCAAGATATAGGGTGCACATACACAAATATTCATGTCCGTCGAGCTTAAAGCCCTTTCCAAACTATATAAACTACCTAAACATGGCCATGATGACATCAGTTTTTGTCAAATAAAATTTGGTAGTCTAGACAGGGCTTAATGCTTACGTCAAATCTATTATTAATACACTTACATCTTTCGTGATTTGTCCTGCTATACCAGTAGTCATATTAATCAGTGGCATTCGGATAACCATCTCACCGGTGTCAATGTTCTTTTGGAGTTTGTCCCGGGCCTCGGCAATACTCGGTTCGATCTTCCCAACACCCCCTTGGATTGGTGCCACATCATACAAGAAGAACCTTACAAAATTTCGATCGTTTTCATCAATGCGTAACTTTAATGGAAGAAATACAACAATTTTTGCTCATTTGAATCTGTTTATATCACGGCGAAGTGTTAACTATTTATGTGTCGCGGCCAATACTAATAGGCATGTGATAGGCAAATTTATAATAATATTAATAATAATTAATAAATAAATACAGGTCTCCCTCCAATTAAAGACCACTTTTGGGACCGGGGTTTCTATGGTCTTTGGGAACTAATTACAATAATAAAGATAAAAGACATTTCTTAATTTGGGACCACAGTAAAGTGGTCTTAAATTGGAGGAGGTATTTAATTTGAGGGGTCCTTAATTAGAGGGAGACCTTAATATCAATAACAATATGCAATTATAATCAAGCTTTGATTGTACTACTGCAAAATAATAACAGATGAAGCCATAATTTCCAGCAAACAATGCTTGAAGGCCATAATTAGGCCTGATGTAATTTTTTGAAGAATATAATGATTCTTTTTTCCGAGCAGTGGACTGATGGCTTTATCAGTTAATTACCTTGTTGTCTATCGCCTATTGGCCAATATTTTATGATATTTTTTATTGTATTTACTGTATGCTCCCTGTCATTTGCGTTTACGCTGTTGGAAGTGAAATAAAATAAAATATAAAATACAATAAAATGTAAATGATGACGTCATATTTGATTTACCACACTACTTATATGCCTATTTGATCTTACACAATGGAGGACATTAATTATATTACACAAAAGGTATAATACTGTATTTACTTGGACGTTGGGTGTTCGTAGAGGAGTGACGTCAGCATATTTTGATATGGCTGCCTGGACTCGTTGATAAAATACTAGTTTATCACTGTTGATCATCTCATTATAGTGGCCTGGGAAAGATAATTACAAAATTGTACATAACTTTTACATTTTTAAAAATGTCATTTTTACCCGCGCGTACAAAACCGCTTTACATTGTCAACGAGTACGTATTACAAATAAGGCCACGCACTCAAAATAGTAATTCATAGGACGTAAAAACATGTTTACTAAACGCAAGTAGACAAACTATTGCAATATTAAGAAGTTCATAATTATGACAAATCTAGGGAGTGGTTCGTACTCTCAACCTGACTTTAGAGGAATCGAACCCTTATGTATTGTATTTCTGCCCATATGTAAGGCATTATATTGAACTTCTTATTCTCCACCCAGGATTGTAAATCGGTACACTGGCTGAGACGACTCAGGTACCTGGTAAGATGCTTAGTGCAGTGAAAGTCTGTGTAAATTGCGACATGTCTCTATACCCTGAACTATTGAGAATATATGTCACTTATGCCTATCAACAACCAGGGTACCAATCCTAAATTAATGCTGTTTTTGTAGGAAATATCAAGTCAATATTGGAAAGGATTAAAATTAATCAAAATTATCACGTGGGAAAGATTTAGTGAATCACAGTTATTCGAATCTGTTATATTTTTTTTCTGTTTGGATTAATGTTAGGATTAGGCTTGCTAGAAGGTATAAAAATATACCTCGTTGGGATTAATAAAGGCAACAAACCGAATATGTATCTAGCATGAGTACTACATTTAGTAATGTTTAATTCTGTATATTATTACTACTATTACTGACTTGATATCTCAAATTGTAGAAATTCGTAGTTATCAGTTTTCATACAACTCCAAGAGGTGAATTCTGTGACTGAAGGTTCACGATAATTAAAATCAAACAGTTGCTCCTCAAAAATGATCTTGCTGATATCCTACAATTTGGATTCCAAATAAGAAGAGTTATAGACGAAATAAGAAATTTGAAACTACTAATAAATAAACACCGTGAGATAAAAAATATATATTTGAAGCTTACAGTCAAACAGTGAAAAGTATAAGTTTAAAAGCCTTGCATTGACCAAATTACATAATTTAAACATTTAAAAAAAAGTGTATTCATTATAATATATTCATTGCCAATTGTATTTAGAAAAGTACAATAATATAATATGACATGATACGATTTTGTGACGATTTTTTAATGATATATACTTGTATAATATTACGTAATTTTATAATTTCATGTACCTTTGCGTCTCTAACAATGAGTTGAACTGGTACTTGAGTTTCCCAGGACAAGTCTGTAACCTCAATCCAATTACTCTGTTAATTAGAAAAGAAATTTCTCCGATTTTGTTTATTTTTAATTACTATAATAATATGTTAACAATAAAAGTAAAATGCTATCGTAATCGCTTGCTATAATAATACTGCTTTGCTAAAATTATACTGCGCCCGTGAGTAGGGGAGAAGTGCTCACAGTGATTTAAGCAACGGATTTAAAAAATAAATTGTAGACTTTAACGTGCAGTTACCAGATAACGATTAAAATTGTATATCTTACCATTGCAAAGTACCACTCCCATACGGTAGGGAAAGGGTCGATGGTAGGCCAATCATATCGAATTGTAATCCATCTTTCGCATGTCATCTCTCTGCAGATTGACTGCGTGTGAATGAAACAATTATTAGTATTATTTGAATAGGCTAATCATTCGTAAAATTAGTAGCATATCGAAAGTATTGAGTTAATGTTTTCTCTCTTTTGCTTTATGCTGTGGTCGATTTATATGTATCATGACATTATATTGACAAGGATGATGATGATCATCATTCTCATCATCATCATGGTGATCATCATCATCATCATCATCATCATCATCATCAACAAAAACATCATCATCCTCGTCGCCGTCATTATTCCCATCATATCATATTATCGTCCTTACAACCATCGTCATCATGCTCATCATCATCCTCATATTACTCATCTTCGTCGTCGTCATCATCATCATCATCATCAGGCCAAAAAAAATATGTTGTGTTGCCCTTCGCGATCGACCGAAATTTTTCAAAAAATCGGGTCGGCATTTTTTTATTAATTTTTTTAAAAAATAATTTTGTTCAAAGGTCTTCCTTTCATTTATGTACAAATTCGAGCAATACCACTTCCGAAATTACAATTTAGAACATTCATTACCTTATGGTATATTGGACAATTAAAATAAAAACAGGCTTATGTCTATCCATCGCTTTAAAACTAGTACATAGCTAGACATTTTAGGATCCGTTACGGTTTTAGGTCAACCATGAACAAAATTTTTTTGTTCTCGAAGTTTTATTTTTGATAAATTTATTTAAATATAGACTTGGTTAGTACGGTATTTATTCCGTCATTACTTTGAATATTTTTTGTTTGGCAAGCTTGGCATTGTTCTATTGTGGTACCTAGGCCTATGAGGCCTTAGGCCCAGGATCTTCATAACAGGAACTGCAGTTTGTGGCCTATCCTATTTCAGGTACTAAAAAAAATACGACCGACCGACACACGATATTTTTCTATTTAAGGGCAATACAACAATTTTGTTGGCCTCATCAGCAGCAGCAGCAGCCTCCTCTGATCATCACCATCATCATCATCCTCTGATCATCATCAAAATCACCATTATTAACAACATCATCATTTGCTAGCTTATGTCATTGTTTAATATTTGCACCACGTGATCAAAGGATTCCGCTCCGTCTATCTCTAGCAAACGCCTCCACACTTCAATTGTGCAGCTAACATCATATAAGCACAAATTGCAGTAGTCCCTATTTATAGTTTACAACTACGTGGTCTTTGCTCTGCTTCTGGGACGTCTTATTCAAGACGGTATTAATTAACAATTATTGAACAATATGTTTAACTTACGAATCAAAACATATAATTAAAATATATTCTAATAAGTCCAACATTTTTAATTAATATTTATAATGCTCTCTTACTGCTCCTTTGTAGATCATGTCCCCGTCCAGTTTTAATATTTCATACATGCTTCCCATTCTCACGAATCCATCGCCAATTGGTATTGCATCTCCAGAAAGCGACGAAATCGGAAAGTAGGAACAGTTTCCAAGGATATTATTCATCGAATATGTAACACCTATTAATTGAAAACAAGTAATTGGATACTATTGACTAATGATTACTGCACATTATATATATATATATATATATATATATATATATATTTATATATATATA